TTCTCAATTTGAAGTTCAGTCATATGTGCTACTGAAAATATGCACATAAATGTTTATCTTTATGTTTTCATATTATAGTTGGTATCAAAGCATGTTATATTTGCATCTAACCCAAATGTATTGTTTTAACGTTCATGTTCATGGAATCTTGGGAAAATGTGGTATGTGTGGGAAATTCCAACTTCAGACAATCAGATCCACTCCTTAATACATGTAAGAGGAAGTAGAAAGCATGGGTGAAGAGTGCAAAAAGAAAACCATCCGCTTGTGGGACCACCAATAAACAAAATGATTTGTTAATTTACTAATCAACAAAGCACATATTTTTAGTCAAGCTTAAAAATAATCAAAATTTACCTCTAATACAGCTAAGTAGACTCCATATTAAGATGATTCTGGAATCACCTGAGCTTCACTTTTGGATCAAGTTTATTTGAGGAATTATTTCTGAGACATGTATTATCTTCCATTTCACTTTCCTTCTAATTTTAAGATCCCCTTCCTGTCATGTTGCCCTGGTTTCTCCAACTCCTCCAGTTGCTAAGGACCCAAACAAGAGTAGTCTTTAATGCCCCAAACCTACTGATTCCTCCCTCTCATAAAATTCTACCTGTTTTATGATCCAGTCCCTCAAACTTCTACTTTTTCACTATCTAGCCGATCTAATGAATAATTCTATCTTTGATATTGACTACTGATAATGGCCAATTTTTATCCTTTCTATATGTATGTGCTATTTGACAGTGGTCTTCGTGCCTTAATAATTATATGGGCCCTACAAGTTCTGGGAAAAAGAGTTTGGGCACTGGGAAATATGACTGAGTTCTGCCCTACCTATGTGACCCGGGACAAATTCCCAGACCTTTTGGAAGCTCCGTATGCTCATCTACAATTTAGAGTACAGTTTTTTTACAGGATGGCTGTCAAGCATAAGTGATAAGTCATGGGACTTGCAAAATTCAGAGACTGTTGATGTTATGTGAAAATGCTTAACTATTAAAAAGTTCTATACAAATACGTGATAGCATTATTATAACTACTATCATCCTAGTAAGTTTTACATATCTCCTCAAATAGGTAAAACTCTTCATAAGGAAAATGTACTAAAAATACAACTTATATTTTAGTAACTCCTAGAAATTTTAGAAAATCTTTCACTTTCTTTTAATTTTTCTTCTACTTTAAGAATTGATGACCAGTTACATAAGTCTTATTGGAGTCAGCTTGATAAGGAAAATGAGATTTTCAACACGGCCGATAGGGCTAACAGGAGAATCTCAGCCCCCCTACTTAGGACCCTTCCGGGTTCTTCTTCCACCCTGCTTGCTGCGCGCTCCAAAATGCCACATGTACAGAAGGAGAAAAGTATAAACTGTTCCCCCTGCCTGTGCTCGGAACTCAGACCTTTGGAGATCACTCTCCTCTGAGCCCGCCGGTGTGAAGTAAAACTCCCCCCCTCCAAGATCTCCGAGTGCCGCTTGGTTCTTCCGTGGGTGATCAGTCCAGGTTCCGTAACAAGCTTATGATGTGGTGGTCAGTATTGGCCAATCAATAAAATGAATAAAAGATTTACAAAGGAGAACAAAAAATGTCAGTAAGATACTGAATGTTAAATGTCTTTCTTAATTATCTTTTTATCTTCCCATTATGCTCATGTATTTTAAAAACAAAATATAATTTTGGGGACTAAGACAGCTATAGGAATTGTGAAATTAAAAAATGATCAATATTAAGTCTTCACGGATTACTGATCTAAAAAAATTTATGTACTGTATTATTAACTAAAAAGTCATAATCCACATCTGCTGATTAGTCTTTTCTTCCTAAGATTTCCTTCCTGTTGGTGCATTTTGATAAATGGATTTATCTGACAAACCCAGTTTTTATCTTCACAAATGCAGATGTGCTAACAGACATTTCAAAACACAGGAGGTGGCGGGAAAGAAAATCCCGAAAGAACGACTTGTTTATTTGGGGAAGTATAAAAATGTAAATCTAACTGTTAAACACAGATTAAACCACTGGGGAAAAAAGTTTCCAAGAGTCTGTTACCCACTTATTAATATCCAATACCCAACATGGAAAGTTAGCAAATAGAGACAGCATGTGTTGAAACTACTATAAATGGTTTTCAACATTTGTGGCATGTTTATATTTTTGCAGGATGTGACTCAAAATGTACTTTGAAGTATTTTGCATTTCTTACAGTAATAAAGAAAAAAGTTCTGTTTTGTTCCAATTCCCTGTTAATATGTAGATGAAGCCACAATTTCCTTTTTAATTTTCCAAAAATACATCCTAAGAAATATTTAGGGAAATTGCATCTAAAACATCATTAATCTGACAATTTTTTTAAAAATCCATGTTTTCTTTATAATAAAAATAGCCACCACTTAGAAATTATAATAAGGGTTCTGAAATTAATTTATCCATGTATTGCTTATATTCCACATATTTCCAAAATGAACTAAATGGATAATTTGACATAAAACAGAACTGTAGAATGTTTAAGAATTCAAAAATCTAATGAATGATAAATGAAAACAAGTAAAATTAGCTTAGAGAACATTTTTATATTAGGAAAGCACTGTGTGAATGCTGTGAAAAAAAAAGCAAAAAATCTCTAAAGGTCAGTTTGAAATCACTCAAAAGAAGTTAGTCGAGAAAAGTAAATTTCTTTTTTTCTGCCTTTGGGTGATTAGGTATTATTATGTAAGCCAAATACTATGGAGAGGATATATCTTGACTTTAGAAAGTGAATAGAAAAAGAATCTAATGGCATCCTTTTAGATATGAGGGAAATACATTGCCTTTTTTTAATCATTCACAGATGATTAAAAAAATGTGCAGGAAGTGATAAATGATCACAACCTGAATGATTTTTTTCATCATGAGGTTATGAAAGCATACAGAAGTAAATGTCAGAAAGTTCCTTTAAAAAAAGTTATTATAATCCAAAAATGACATTTGTATCAAGTACATACCGCATTATATCCTCTGATGTGGGAACATTATTTTGAACCCTGGGTTTGGTTGTGGCATAACCCACACTTCACAGGGAACTTGGCAAATGAGACCACCATCAGAGAAAGCATCAGAGGTATGGAAGTGTTTGAAAACTACACAGTGTAGGAATTGGTTGAAAAAAGTCTCAGATGAGACAGGCCAATATCTGGAAATCAATTAAGAGGAAGGACTGGACTCAGACCATTACCCCAGGAGTTGAAGTAAGACCAACAGGTAGTTACAAGTGGTTATAAGGAATATAAGAAAATGTCTAACAAAGAGGAAGAAACTTTATAAAAGAAATAGGAGAGCACTAGAAATACAAAGAGTGTGTATGAGAAGAGCATTGACTTGGTGCTCAACTCCTGATCTCAACCCTCTTTTAGCCTTGGGAACTTGGTCTAGTTACTACACTTCTCTGGCCTTCTGTTTCCTTATCTATAAAATGGATATCCATATATTGGAGAAAGAGGGATAGCAGCTCAGAATCCTGAGGTATGGGAGGGGAAAGTCAGAACCAGACGGCTACCATGCTCGTTCTAAGGTTCTAACATTTTATAACAAGAACATGATATTTTTCTTCTCATGGTAAGAAATAATTGCTAGATGATGTCATTCATTTGACATATATGTACTGTTGCCTATTAAGTACAGGCACTCTTCTAGGGAAATAGATATGAAAAAAAACAAAGCACAAAAATTCTAGCCCTCATAGACCTTATACGATGTGGAAGGAGAGAGACAATAATCAAAACAAATACATTATTTGGTGTAGTAGAAGATAATAAGTACCTATATTTAAAAAAATGAGGAGAAATTCAAAATTTTAAATAGGGTCAAGAAAGTTTTAATGAAAAAGTGACAGATAACAGATTAAGTAAATTCATCAGTAATTTTTAAGTTAATCTTATTATGACATCCATTAGAAAATACAGTGCCCTCAAATAAATCCGGTGATCCAAATAATGTTCCAAATAATGTAATCTCATCAGAGAGTGTTATGGGCTGAATTGTGTCCCCCCAAAACTCACATGTTGAAGTCTTAACCTCCAGTACCTCAGAAAGTGACTATATTTGGAGATAAATTTAAAGAACTAATTAAGTTAATGAGATCATTTAGGATGGATCCTAACCCAACATGACTGGTGTTCATATTAAAAGAGGAGATTAGAATACAGCCATGTATAGATGATGATGTGAAGACATGGGGAAAAGATGGCCATCTACAGACCAAGGAGAGAGGCTTCAGATGAAACTAAACAACTAACCAGATGAAACGAACCATGAGACAAATTTCTGCTGTTTAAGCCACTTAAGCAGCCCCAGTAAGCTAATACAGAGAAGCTTGTAGTACATAAAGCCAGGCTAAGTATTAAGTTTGGGATAGTTCAAGATGGCACAGTCATTTTTATACCAAGTAAGATTCTTTGACAAACTTTATATCAGAATTTACATGTATATTTCAGTTTCTCTGTGTTTATTCTTTTAACATTATATTGCACTGATAATCTTAAATCTAATATTTTTCTGCCAATATACTCTAATGAAGAAACACAGTTTAACAAAAATATTACAAGGACTTCATAACAAATAATATCATGCTTAAATTATATGTAAATTTTCAGGATAACATTTGTTTTTTTATCATGATATGTATAAACTTACTGAAGTTTTAACATGGTGGCTCATAATCTTTCAGAATGTTCATGTGCATAAGCAAGCAGTTACTAGCACCAGAACTTAAAAACTGCTCCATTCAAATCTTCTACACAGATAGCTGAAAAGTGTTTAGTGAAACTTTGCTGCATACCTGTAATCCTGATGGCCACATACTAACACAAGCACTCTGCAGGACTATTTGGAATGCACTGGATGCACACAGTAAAACATTCTTCAAAGAATATTGTTTCATATTCCTTTCAGTTCCCTCCAGATTTTCCTATTAGTGATTTACATCAGTTTTAGAGATTAAAAAGCAAATGAATTATACTTACAGGTCCTGTTAATTTAGATGCTTTCTCAAATTCTTCACCCTCTTCCATTAATGCTTCTTCAGTTCCAGGTAAAGAATCTATTTTTACCAGAAGAATGAATAAATTATAATGACATACAGCTTACTAATTCTCTAGTATATAAACCTATTATGAGAAGGATATTAAAATGACTAAACTGGTAGTTGAGAAATCATAGTGTCTGTAAGTGATAATGGAGTGTACAATGTTATTTATTTAGGTTAAAGACAATGTATGAAAATGTTAAAATTATTCTAATATAGAAGGGCACTTTGAAGTCAAGAATGTTCTGGAGCTCCAGTTATTTTAGTCAGAGCAATCCTTTTGGCATATTATTGGAATTTTAGAATTTATATTCAAAGTCCTTTTTTCTGTCTTGTAATTTTATGTTTGTTTTATCCAACAACTCTCTCTTTTTTTAACCAGTTTGTGTTCTCCCTTTTAAGTGGGATAGAAAATTCTGAAAAGTCTAGAGAAAGGTGCATATTATTAAATGGTGATAGGTTTTCCATTTTAATGTATCAAGCAAGAAGTTGTAATTATTTAGCTGAATGGATTGAGGAGTGGGTAAGGACTTTCAAATATGTGAATAAAATGATGGCAACCCTTTCCATATGTCTACAGAGTTAAATTGATAATAACAATAAGGGTTTCTATGGGTTAGAAAGAATTCTGCAATAAGGACAGATAGATGGAGCATCTAGAAGTAGTCTGTTTAAACACCTTTTCAAATTAAAAAAATCAGTTAAGAGAAAGTTATTTTAAGCAACTGGAAACTTTTTGAATTGATTTCTTCTATTTATTAATATTTGAAGAAGCCATATGGATCCTTAACAAAGACTTTCCTTCAGGTTCACATACATACAGAGACAGACTTCTGTTACTTAAAATGTGTACTCTGGGAAGAAAATGAAAGCATTACCTCCTTCAAACCCTTAATGGCACCCAAGACCAGGGAGACAATAGAAAGCTTAGTGCAAATCTATAATCATAGCTTTTGAATCATGGGACTCTTATCTCTGATAATTCAGAATTTTACTTTCAAGAAGAAAAATTACTAAATCTCAGAGCACATAGTTTATCTAGATGTAGACTTCATTTTATAACACAGAAGTCTTTCCATGATAAAACTAACTTTGAGAGAATCACACATACTCTCAAGTTGTAGATAAATTTAAAAATTTTACCTACGATCCTTCCAAACAGAACACAGACATTAAAAAGCAAATTTTTGTTGATAAAAGCAGGAGAGATGATAATTATACCAAATTGAAAAATATTAATTCTTTTGTGAATACTTGAACCCCTATCTACTAAAACCCAGTTTTAAGAATGACAACAGATATATTCTTAAAATTAGGATGTAAAAGTTAGCGTAATTTAAATCCTCCAAGAATAAGTTATATTCTACAGAACAGTGAGCAAATACTAATGTGATTTTAGCATTCATTTAGTATTTTTTCTGTTTTATTTATGTGCTGAAATTCTTATTTGTGTAGAATATTGACAAATAATATGAGAATGTTTTATTCTATATTATTTTGCAAGTTATTTCACATATAGAAGATGAGCGCACACCCACTTGTGTGTTTGCTGATATTTTTGAAGTTAGGAATGCTTACTATAAGGACTTAATCAATCTCCTCTCAGGGAGTAGTTAGTAGTTTTAAAGAGGTATTGTCATTCTGCTTGACTTTTTTATGCATGTATTTTTGTTGATTTTTTTTTGTGGATGTCATTCTGCTTGATATTTTTTATGCATTATGAATGAATAATTCATTCATCCATTTATTTGTGTATTTATTTATTCAACAAATACTATATGCCAGGCCCTCAACTAGGTGTTTCCAAAATAAGTTGAGATAATTTTCTATGACTCTCTCTTGGAATTTGCTTGAATACCTTTACAGTATTATTTTTTCAGGGAACATTTATAAAAGGAAGATACATGTAACTTTATTGTTTTACATTCTGTTCTGTTCTGGTTCTGGTTGAATCATCTGGACCAACCATACCCAGTGAGATCTACAATATAGTAAGGTCCACTCAGCTCAGTATAGAGGGGCAACTGTGAAGTACTACTTGCAAATTTACATACTTGACCACATTAGAAATTAAGTTGAAAGGGCCCTTTTAATTAATCCAAATCCAATCATAGAATATCAATCTAACAAACTAGTAGGGACAACAGACATCATGAAAATAAAACCTTGGTATTTAATGTTCAGAGGGGCATATTCCATTATTTTAAGTGTTCTCAGTACACTGCTTATTAACTACAATCGGTCAGTACATATGTGTCAGCTATTTTGTTCTGTCTACTCCAGAGCAATTTATTTTATAAATATAAATGATTTTCACATTACAAGCAATGAGCTTATTTTAATCACAGGGTGGGAGAATGAGTCTCTTAATTTGTTAAATGTTAGAGAACTTATCTTGTCTCCTCATTTTAGAGAAGAAAGTGAAGCATAGAAAGATAAAGTCAGCCCCGGAAGATGACTGGTTAGCCAGAGACGGGTAAAATTCCTCAAGGGAGGAACAACCTAAGACAGGCACAGTCGCAGGGGGGCCATCAGGTGAGAAACTGGGGATCAACAGAGGTGAGGCTTAGAACCTCTCCCCCCCTGTTCTGAGAGAAATCTGCTGCATCCGTGGATGTTTTA